CCCCTGAAATACAGAAATGTGTTTCCGACACCTGCCGGCGGTGCCTGTGCACAGCAGCATCCGCTGAGCTCATTCAGCAGCGCGTTGTCGGGGTCACCTCAGCCTGACGTCGGCTGCGCAGTCCTGGTGGGGGTCCTGTCTTCGCACGACTGCAATGCACCTGGAACCCGGGAACCCCGGAATCCAGAAGGCCCAGACACTGACGAGCCACGCAGACCCCCGCGGCCACTCTGACCCCTGCCCAGCGCGTGGACACCTGTCACAGGGCCCCACGGGCTGCGGTCGCAGGTGTCCGGGGTCTCGGCCTTCGCCTCAGAGACGCCAGTTCCCGACCCCGAGCACCGGCCCCGCGCAGGCTCCGGGCGGCAGCGTGGGCTGCGGGTAACCAGAGTTGACCGCGCCGCAGACAGGACTCGGCCAGGCGCAGCGTCTCCCCATGGGCAGAGACGGGGCCGCTGTGACGGGGAGGGGAGCAGGGCTGAGAACGCGGTGACCTGGGGGCGACACACTTGGCCGCACAGTCAGCCCAAGGGGAGGTCCCCCCTGGAAATTTTCGTCTTTGACAGGTTTGTTCGGCCCCCGTGATGGGAATGAGGGTCAGGGAGGGCTGGGGCACAGGCTGGGGTGTCGGAGCTCCTGCCGAGCTCAGGAGACCAGAAGTCTCCCCGCCTGAGGCCCAGAGAGGTCCTGGGCATCCGGGCGGGGGGCGGGGGAGGGGGGTGTCCTGGCTCCACCACCTCCGACCCCAGCTGACAGAAGCTATCCAATGTCTATCGACTGACAGATTCCGGGTAAATGGGGAAAAGCTCTGAAAAATGAGAGTTTCCACTGCTAACTTAGGTTATGTCTCCCTTTTTTGTATAAGCATAAATTCAAAAATATTGTGGTAACATCAGTTTGTAACTGGATTGCCTTAGCTCTAAACTGGCTATCTGGGCTGGGCAAAGTACAAGCTGAGCTGCTCCAGGTCAGGAAATTTCCTTTGAATGAAGACAAAGGGCAAGCTCCTGGAGAGATAAGACCCCAGAGCATCAAGACTCCTGGGAAGCTTCCTTGGTCTTTTGACAAAAAGCGAATCTTAGATAAAACTCCCAGCCATAAGGACCCACGGGCAATTTGTTGATATTATCAACTCCGGTTTTGCTTGATGCATAACTACGTGACTTCCTCTTAGTTTACTCTTTTCCTACAACAATCACGAACTACTCTCTGCTAGTCTTAATTAAACTTTCCCTCAAACAAACAGTTGCTACTCTCTGCTAAACTTAAGAGAGCCATAGATTTTCTTGAGACTACCACTGAAGAGTCTGCTCACACAATTTATTCCTTCCCTAGGACTCCTAAATCCTTTGCTAACAGCTCATCCTTCCCCAGACCCTGACCCTTTAAAGTCACAGTTAAGCATCCGTATACATGAAAGCTATCACAGAGATGTACAGCCTAGTGTGCCATAAAGTAGCAGGAAGAGGATGCATTGTTCCCCTCTTCCTTTAAAACGTTTATGCCGATTCCTTATTAACTTACCTGATGCATTATTGTAACTAAATATTGCTAAACAATATAAATACAGACCTGCAAAAAGATGAGCAGGAAGACTTGCACGCAACTCCGATTCCTGGGTCTTCCTCGCTCCCCTTTCTCCTTTCTCTCCTTTCCCCCCTTTTAAGAATCTGCCCTCATCGATGCCTCCCACCTTAGGGTCCTGCCTGTCTTGCCTCCAAAGACCTCGATAGATGGAAATGGACTCCAACACCCGGGTATGGAGTGGGCCCCATGTCTGGACGGGGCTCCCGTGCCACATGCAGGCCCAGACGCTGCCCAGGCCTCCGCGGCCCTGAAGGGGAGCCCCCCTGTCTGAGGGCTGACCCAGGGCGGGCAAGGGCCTCTCGCAGCCCTGATTCAGGGAAGGAAAAAGATGAGTCTCACCTGTGTCCACAAACAGAGGCAGATACGAGCTGTGGCCGGGTTGAGCTGACCTGGCTTCTGTCCCGTCCACACCGGTGCCCAGTCCACTCTCCTGCAGACCTCGCCGCTACTCTGCCTTCCCAGCTCCCATCCCCAAGTCCTCTCTCCACGAGGGGCTTCCGCAGCGTCACCACAGCCCCCAGCTCCGGTCTGCCCTGGCACCAGGGGTCTGAGTGCGGATCATCCACTGTCGTTCTCAGCAACTGATTTCTGTTCATCGTGTCCGAGGCCAGAAAACCACATGTCTTCTCCTCCAGAGACGTGATACGACCACCCAGACCGTGTCTCTCCTGGGTAAGCACGGAATGAGGCAGCTGATCCGAGAAGCCTCCACCTCACGAGACCCCACATCCTGTCCCGTGCCGGTTCGCCCACCCCCTGGGCAGATGTTGCTTCTCCCTGGGGACATCAGGCCTCAGCGTGGCTGCCGCAGCACCAGCCATCACGTCCCACTCTACAGTATGCGAATCTAAGCCCAGCACCACTGCTAATTCACAGCGAAGGTCACTGACCAGAGCCCAGCCATGCGGCCACTACAGTGCTTCCCCCTGACATGCTGTGCGGTGGGTGCAGCTGAGGAAGCTGTGGACGGCTGGGGCCAGCACTCAGGAGCTGAGTGGCACCGCCGGCTGCGTCTGGGGCGGCCAAGCCTGCCGCTCGG